TCCTATTAAGTCAATTATTTTATCATGCAAAGGCCATTGCTCACTACCGTAAAATCTGTATTAGAAGCCGCATCCCCAATAGAAGCCGCACCCATTTTTTTTGAACAATCGAGACCCAAAAATTCATCAGGTCGCATATGTGTAGATGCTCTAATAGAAGCCGCATCTCTGTTGCATTGTACCATTTTAATAGAAGCTGCGGCTTTTAATACAGATTTTACAATACTTCACGTTCCAAGCTTTTAGATTATTTTAGGACCAATTAAAGGGGGAGCAGTGGTATGGCATTTGACACAAAATTTGAGATCTATGAATGAATTCTGTTGATAAAAACAACTTGTATGGGCTGCGAAATGCCCTAAATATTGGGTATCGGGTTTTGAATTTTCACCTGATGCTTAAATTAGAATACTGACTGCAATATTCTTAATATCATGCAAACCATTTCTTTACTATTGCATTATGGGTAATATATACTGGATTGAAATAGTGATTAAAAAAATGCGCCAACAAATTAATGTTTTGAGGTTGGTACTCGCCAAAAATATGACACGTCCTCCTCATCATCTCAGCACATGCTTACTCTGAAAAATGTTTACCACCTACCCCCGGTATTTATTTTGCAGATTTTCTAGTATTTTGACTACCGGTAATCACAGAATTGTGCTGTTTTTTGTTCTCCAAAATTCTTTTTTTTGGAACAATTGTTCAAGTCTAATTTTAGCTTTAATTATGTGTGTGGCAGTGGTGCACTACATTTACTGTAGAATACTTTATTTTCGCTTGGAATTTATTTTCGCTATTTTCGCTGAAGGAATGATTCCATGAAAATAAAATCCAGCGAATATACCTTTTTTCCTATATTTCACATTAAACTCATCAAAAATCAGTGAAAATAAATTCCGTACAAAACTTCCAAAAAGCCTTTCAGCGAAAATTAATTCCAGCGAAAATAAAGTATTCCCACAGTATGTTCGAAACATTAGTAAACCAGTGTAATTGCCCAGTCAAAACATGGTTAGATGCCACGAAGTAAGTGGCAATGCCTTAACCGTATATGTGTTGAACACTCGAGGGTGTATTCCGTCCTTGTCAAGGGGAGTGCTAACCTTCTCTCCTTTCATACAACACATCATGTTAATACTCATGTCTTGCTATATATGTATCATATTGTGCTGCAAATAACAGGACACGGTGAGAGTAAATGTTTATTTCCCTTGTTATAGACTCTAAACAATTCAAATTTGCATAATTAAATTTGAAGACAAAATATATTATGGTACTAATATTCTGATACAAGCATCAGTATTTTCCAAGATTTTTTTTAAGATAACATGTTTTAGTATGGAAAACCAGCCATGTTGCATTATGGGTAATATATCATAAATGTACTTGATTATAAGCACGACAGTAGATAAGTTTGTCAGTCTTCTTTTATTGCATAGTAGCCACATCTATCCCTATCTATTCTTGAAGTGGTTGCTATGTGAACATTTTGATGGTGACAGTGTTTAATACTAGCAGTCTTATTGACTGTATTCAGGGGTCTAACTGCCAATAGACCATTTTCCGTTCACTGCGAAAATCACACCTTATGCGTGAAATCGAACGTAAAAACAAAGGTCATAGCGTCGTAGTGGCGTCAAACATCGCGTGGGATTCGACAAACGCGAAAGTATTGTGGGGGACATTTCCATGCTTAATAATGCACTGTCCACATTTGATGATATGCAATTTCGATTAAGTAAGGGTATTCGAAAACAATATTCCTCTGTCGAAGATAGGCCGGTTGATGTGAGCTACGAAATAAAGAAATTCGAGTTCAAAATCAAATCGTTTGATTTTTGCGGCACACGTTCAACTCGCGTCTTTCATGCAACTCGCAATTGAACAGAAAATCACCTATTGTCACCGCTTTTGTAATGAGGAAACCTAATACGACAAGTCATTGTCAATGACATAGTCCTTGATTGTATTACAGGAGTGAGATAACACGCAACTACAAAAGCTATATCCATAATGTCAAGATGACCGGGCATTGGCCATTTTGGATTTCATAGTGACAAAAATGCACACAGGTTTGTCCGATATATCTGATGTATGCGTGAAGTTTGAATTTCATCAGTCTACACATGTCAGTGATGTGAATCCAGAACTACATTTTTAAAATGAAATGGCCATCAGTAGGCCATTTTGAACTTAATCCGAAAAATAAAATGACATGATGTTCAATATTTGTACTAATTTTAACCAAAATGTTTTCACACAACTGAAATCTGGTTCAGGAGTGGTGAAAATGTGTGATTTTGTTGCATTTTTATCCTTAAAATGGCTGCCATTTGGCCATCTTGAATTGGATCATAAAACACATGGATGTGCATATGTTCGATATAATGTTTGATGAATGTATGAAGTTTGAACTTCGGTTTGAGCATATGCGAGTTACTGCTGGATATGAACGGACAGACAGATGCACAGACGTGTGGAAGTCATGTCACACTTACCTTGGCACAATTTTTCAGAGTTCCTCCAGTCTGTACTAAATCATCCACAATTATGATGTGCCTTCCTTCAGCATCACCTACAGCAGATGAAAATAAAATCTCTTGAGTTTGTCAAATAATGATTGTAACATTGTGTCTTAAGTTTTAGAATATACCGGTATATTATTAAACATCTGTCAATGTTACGCCATAAGTTACAGCATGCTGTAATATTGTGGTATTTTATGGAGTACTTTCATCCTACCATATAAGGAAATGCAAATTCCAAATATGGAATGATTATGCATGTAAGCCTCCTCTATTAATAAAAACAAACATGGCTGCCATCAGGGTTTGACCAGACTCCACACAAAGAAGTTCACTGATAACGTTCTAGACTTTTTAGTCCCCGTTCGGACGCAGTCCGAAAACGGGGACTTATGTTTTGCCCTGTGTGCGTCCGTCCGTCCGTGCGTTCGTGATCACCTGTATCTCGAACATGCATGGACCGATTAAGTTCAAACTTCACTCATACATCAGACCTTATATGG